CAATATCGGTTGACCGCTACTTAAAACTGTGCATGTAATATATTTTAAATGAGTCACATTTAAAGAACATGTCTCTGAAATGGTTCATCTAACAAACCCCGATTCAACTCATCAGTTCATTAGAGACTTTTAAGACCTCAAGTGTGTCAGAAAAGGTAAAGAGATTTGGGAAAATATGGTTCGTGTCAGATCTGCGTCACGTTCAGCAGCGGCAGCTCTTAAAGAAATAACCTAATAGCCAGCTGCTATGATGTCTATTAATCAAAGGACAAAGAAAAAAAGAGGAAATCAATAACTTCTATAGCTTTAAGGATTCATCTATATTTAATTTAGAATGTAGTGTTTGATAACTTCAATTTCTGTATATTCCTGCTGAAGGGCACAGGTAAATATGACATTTATTATAATGGGTTTTTGTGAAGATTTTGTTCACTTAAAGAAGATATATTTTTTTAAAGTCTAATAAATGTTAAAATTGATAGCTCTCAATTATACTAATGTTAAATGGCTATAATCAATGATTAAATATTAGGGGGGGAAACAATTTTATAGTGACATCAGTAGTATTGGTATCAGTGATACTGGCCTTCAAAAGATGCCATTAAACGCTTAAAATATAAGTCGTCGTTGCATTTCTTCCTGTTGTTTCAAAGATTAAAGGCACAATCACTTTCCCAAATAGTCTGCAGTAACATGGTAAACGCTAAAATGTGGGGTTTTAATAATGTTAGCGTTCTGACACTTGGAATTTTAAGATGTAGAATAGTAAACCCATTTGTATTGAATAAAAGATTTAGCGTAGTCTTATTTATTTCATTTGCAATGTCCAAGAACAGCTTCACATTTAAATGATTTTCTTTAATCAGATGAGAATATGGCTATTAAATATACTGTGTGTAATATTGATGATTAAGTTAGAGGTTTGTTTATTTTTAGACAATTTTGTGGAAAAAAATTAAAAGGGGACAGAGACAGGCAAAGCAGCAATACATTCAAGGTTTTTTTTCAAGAAGAAACCATGCATGTCAAAGATGGGTATAGTGCAGTGCAGCTCAGAGCCAATCCACCAGGCTGGGCCAAGTTGGCCAGCAAATTAGCAGCCTTGAACCTGGCACACACAGTCTGTTTGGACAAAAGAAGTTGAGAAC